GCCAATTGAGCCATCACAGCCACGCCATCTCCAGTCACAGTCACAGTCACACCCGATCAAGTCTCAGTCACAGTCAATCACACAGGAGCCACTCTATGTCACAGAACAGCCATCCCTCCTTCACCTATAGCCACGCCCCCTTCACCCAGCAAGGGCCAGGCTCCTGCGCCCAAAGCGAGCGAAGTCATGCTTCCTCCTACGGACCCCCAGGCTTGCCTCCCCCTTATTGTCTGGCCCGTCTGGCCCCCAAGACCTCAGTCAGCAGCAGCATGCCCCCTGGAGCCCCTCCTGGGAGAGAGTTAGCGGCCGTTCCTCCTGAGCTCACCGCCAGTCGCCAGTCTTTCCAGCATGCCATGGGCAATCCCTGTGAGTTCTTTGTTGACATCATGTGACAGGACAGTGCCTTTAAAACTCTTCAAAGACAGAACAGTTATCTCTCCTTCTGTCTTTCTTATGGGTCTCTTGCCTCTGACCGTCAGAGGTTTGGAATGTAGACGCTGGCCGGCCCTCTACCTACCCCCCTGCTAGCTGTCTATCCCGCCATTGTCCAAGCAAAGGAATACAGGCAGCAAGAGCACAACAAGAGGGAGTCCCCTCACACATACAAACACGGGTCCTTTGTGGCTGAAAATCCTTTTTTGTATTGACGTGACGTATACAATTTGTGAAATGTGAGTGGTATTCAGTGTGGTGATTCTTTAAAGCTGCCACGCAGACATTCTCGGGAATGTGTACTCTACCTAGGATTATTTCTGTTCTGCACGACCTTTAAGATGACTGGGCCTGGATCTCAATCCCCCAGACCCAGACCGTCCCCTACAGCCCGCACTTAGGAACATTTTTTGGGCCTAGAACCTGGAGTGGATCTGTGCATACTGACAAATTTAGCACAATACACCAAACCTCTGGCCCCACTTCTTTTATGCAGTGGCATTGCCACTGGCTTTTTTTAAGCTTCTACCTGCCAACTAACAATGATCAGTTCACAAACCGTGGATTTCCTCATCTTCATAAGGGAGGCCCTGTAGCCAGGCAGTTTAGATAGGCTGCATATTGCATGACTGTCTCAGTTGCTTTAAAGAAAAGAAAAGAAATTTTATTAATACATTTCGTTTAAAGTATTACCATTACTGGGGGGGAGGGGCTACCGCTTGCCAATGTTCCAGAGGAACAATCCGTACACTGGATGATTTTTGTGATGTTATTTGTGTGATCACGTTGCATTGATGGTGTCATACTTTGTCTACTGTGGCTGACTGACAGACAATCAGACATCACCCTTCGTGACTCAGCAGCCAGTTTCCACTGTCCTAGCCGTGCTTTGTCGAATGTTTCATTCTTCCTGTTAGTGGTTAAACCCTGACATTTGTAAAACTGGTTTAAACACTTTGAAACAGGATTGCAAACAGTGGACACCCACCGCAGCAATGAAAGCAAATTCACAGGGTTGCCATGAGATAAGCCTCTTTGCTAAAAGCACTGTGCTTGTCTCTTCTGTAACGATTGTGAGTTTCAATACAAGTCAGTATGATAAAAGCCAAAGCCTCACATTTGTGTGGTCAATGTTTCTTTTTAATGCAGAAGCTGCCTATGATGTAGATCCTTTTGTGATTATCATCAGAACACTTCTCATTTTTTGACTTCAAAGTGACATCAAGGGGAATCCTGCCCTTTAGGCTCTGATCTCCTTGCAAAACAATGGCAAATCCCTGTTGTGTCTACCTATACAGGAGGGAAATAACACAAACCCAATAGTTTTCTGAGCACTTTTTCATTTTGTTTCTCCCTCCCTTCAGTATGAAACACTGTTTGCAATCAGCGCTTTCTTTTAATTTATAATCATCTGTAATGTTTTAAGATGTACTTTTCTCTTGTTTAGCGGGACCACTAGATGGAGGCATTCAGTGTCTAATTTACTTTCACGTTTGATATATAAAATGTGTTTTGGATTTTACTGCAGTCAGTAATTGCTTGTGTTATTTGGGCATATGCGTTTAAAATGTTTAACTGGCAAATCCAAGTAGGGGGTTATTTCTCAAGACCGATCAGGGTTATAAAGTAGGCGGTCATGGTCTCAAAATCTAGATGACTATAAAAATTACAGACAAATTGTAGCAGGTATAATATCACCACAAAGCCAATTCTGTTAGCCGTCATTTGCTTTAACACTTAACAGTTAACACCCCTGAGTGGAACTTCCGAGCACCAGTGCTGCTACGTGTACTTTCCCAGTGGGCTGATGTCTTAAAAGGCACAACTGCTAAACCCATACAGACCCCCTGTCTGTCTGACCTACCACCCACAGACATTAAAAGACATTTACAGTGTTGTTTGAGACCCTGACAGTGACGCCCCACATCACCGCATGAGAGGCTGTGTCACAGACGTTTGTCAGGAAGGAAGTGATGTCAGAGCTTATTATTTACACCCCCGCCTGCAGAGGCAGATTAAAAAGTACCCTACTTAAGAAGCAGCTTCTGTGCTCACCTGCATACTATTCATAACACAGTATTAGGCAGAATGAAAATTTGCACTTCCAGACTGATACTGTCTTCTGTTACAACCAACATAGTTGCAGTTTGACTCTCACTCAGGCTGATGTCAATCTACCACACATGCAAATTTGCACACACCCGCATTTACCAGAAGAATGAGCAGCACGGCTACACTACTTAAGAAACAACCCAAAAGTAATTTCCAAGTCACTATGTTAATTGAGCTTTTGGGGTTTACTGTGCTTCATAGCTGAACCTTTAGGGGGAGGTTTGAGGGTAAGTGTAGGAGATGTTTCTTGACCAAGGATGCGTAGGCAGATGGGGTGCAGACGTTTGACATCACAGTCTCATGTAACATGCGTTATGCTCTTTAAGTAGGCTGAGAATGATGCATTCAGATGTCAAAGGGGAAGTCTACCAAATGTCATTTGAGTGTCACAATCACGACACATGAGAAACATGACACAGCATGTACATTTTGTAGTAATCGTAATTATTTCTAGGCTCCACTCCTAAGTATGACTTAGCTGTGAGTCAGGACCAGCCTGTGATATGCAGTCACCTTACAAAAGTCAACTGATTAAGGAAACACCAGTTCCCTTTTCGAATGAAATTATTGCTATGAGCTTATTTGGAGAAATTAGTTTACTAGAAAACATTAAATTTCTAAGTAACCTTTTAATAGTTATGAAAGACACATTTTTCATTTTGACCTAATTCACTCACACTTTTTGTTTCAGTTGCCCTATCCACTCTTGTTCTGGTGGTTTTTGTCACCAGTCACATAGATGGCAGCTGATCAGAGGCAGCAGTGGAAATTTCTTAACTTTTCAGTGCCCTTAGCTAAACCTCATTTGGTGAGTAATTGTCAGGTGCAATGTGACTCATCAGAATCACTCCAATCCACTATTGTGATAAATCTAAGCAATATCTTCCTGTAGTAATCTATTATTACTTTGTGGTGTCTAATGTGTGTCAGATATAATCAGTAAAACGTCTAAAAGGTTTTCAATTACATATGGCCACTATAAAGGAGCCATTGTGTTACTAGTGTCAACACGTTTCTCTCCAGTTCCACTTCTGGAAAGTGGTAATTCTCCCTTCTTAGTGGATAAACATGAACAATTTGAAAATATGTTCAAATTAAACACAAAAGTCAAAAAGTTAGTTCTTCTTTGTTGGTAACTGTGTAGACTATGGCACAATAGTTTGACCAGACACATGTGGGGAATGATGTAAAACTACATAGATTTTAATTCCTTAATCTGGACAAGTTGGAGCACGTGTAGCCTGTCAACAACAACAAGACTATGTTACTTAAAGCTTACCCATCTTAATGTGTGAAACAGGTTTTCAGGAGACCTGCAATATGTGAATAGGGATTCATGTGAAATCAGGCATGATATTTACAGGCAGTACTTCCTAGGAAAAGCAACTATGTGATCTCCAGGGGACACTGTGTGAGAAGTCCCCATGTAAATGAACCAAGTGGAACTGATCTGATAGCTATAATGGGAGCCAAGCAAGAAATGCTGTTATGCACAACAGATTATGAGGACACCTATTCACAGTCCTGTGGCAGGGCAGCCTAATCTACTAATGCTTTTTTTAAAATTTAAATTATCCACCTAAACAACTCTGTTTTTTCATTCAATGAAGATGCCACGCCCCCTATGTATAAGAAAACCAGCAGCTGTGAGTTTCTCATGACTTAGATCAATGTGACCACAGCCCAGGGAGGTTTCCTTAGATGACAACACATCTCAGAACATTACTGCTAATTCTGCTTTAGACTAAATCTACAGATTTAGACAAACAAAAAAGTGACTTTTAAAACAAACAAAGAGAGGACTGGGATATTTGCTGGATATTTCTCGGACTGGATTACCTCTGTTTTTCTTAGGTGGCTTTGTCATCCTGAACCACAAGGCTGGAGAAATGACAGCAGTGAAGGCTGTGATCCTGTGGGCTCTGTGTTTCTGTCTGCTCACACAGGGCTACCTGGGCAGTATGGAAACAACTGACAGAGGCTGCATGAAATGGACCCTGAGCGGGGCAAATGTTTGCTGTGAAGCCTGCCATCCAGGTAAGTCGCAAAGGAGAGAATTATCATAATGTATTGGTACTGATGATAAACAAATGGTTCACAGGTCTACACATATATATCATATAGTCATGTTTTTACTAGTGTAGGGACCGCGACGTCTCTGGTGCCAGCTTTGCAGCTGGTCATAGCAGTAGTCAAAACATGAAGCAAATCAATGTGTGTGTGTCTGTTGATTAAGTGGTGTGTAGCTAAAAACATTCTCACGACCTCTAGTAACATGTCGTGACATTAAACATAAGAACATATTATGGCTAAGGCTACAGTTATACACGTCATAATAATAATATTAAACATCCTGTCTGCTGACAGTCATCAACTTTTCTCTCTAGTTATCCTTGACCAGATGTACCCTGTAGAAACTCATAAGCATGCCTAAGCATTTAACAGTCTAACTAGACATCCTATCTCCACTAAACATTTCTAATACATAAAGTATCTATCCAATATCTATCTGACTAAAAATACCTAACAACAGGTCTACACATATATATCATATAGTCATGTTTTTACTAGGATAAAGGTTTAAAAGTAGTAAATAAAAGCAACACTGCTTTCAATAAAACAGTATATATGAAATGTATTTTCACAGAGGAAAGGAGAAAGATCTCTGCTCACTTATATCAAACTGTTTTATAAACATATTAACAATAAAATTGTTTTATCCTAATAGGTTAGGTTTTTTTATGTGACATCTTAATAAAACACTGCCAAGTTGTATGTGCTTTCGTCTGTGGATGCTTAAAAAACACTATTCCAATGACTGAGTAGTTCCTCTGTGGCGGCTGCACATAACCAAATATAGTTTCAGTGGTTTTTAGCTAATACCGCAACAACAAAACAGCCATGGATGATTCAACTGATAATTTAAATAATCTGGAGCTGTGATATACACTTGTATGTATCATTAAAATTCCATACAAAAAGTACAGTAAGGTTGCTTAAGCTACTTCCTCCAAAACAGTCCTGTTCTCAGCAGTGAATGTTTGGAAGCTGTTTTTGAGACATTACAACTTTTTAAGCTCACATTACCATGTGTGTGTGAAGACTTGTTACATCACTGAAGAAGCTAATCTCACTGAATCTGATGCCAGCTAATGTGTGTTTCTTTTATGTGGTCGTGTTTGTAGGAAATCGCCTGATAGCACGTTGTGGTCCAAACCCTAAAGACCTTTGTGAGCCTTGTAAGACTGGGACATTCACAGTGAACCCTTTAGCCTACCGGTGTGACAGGTGTAGAGGATGTTATGGTAAGATAGTGGATCCTGCTGGTCACAGAGACATTTTCTCAGTAGTGAGCTTCCACTATTGAATCTGTAAACTTACTGCACTCTCTCCATCTCCTTGTGTGTTAAGGCGCTTTAGTCCTCCTCAAAGAATGTACAGCCACAACTAACACCAAGTGTGGCTGTAAAGAAGGACTCATCTGTGGTGATGACCACTGTTCCTTTTGTGTTACACGGTGTGACAAAGGCCAAGAACCCACAGAGGATCGTAAGTAAACCTGTAAATAAGCATGACTTTGGGACACGCTATAAGGTTTATAATGATTGACATGTAAACTGAATGGCTGGCTGTGCAGGTTTATGCAGACCATGTCCAGATGGAACATTCAATGACCAAGTTCACCAGAAGTGTAAACCCTGGAGTACCAAGTGAGTGACAGTATACACTGCTCTTCTGTTGTTGTTTTTTATACTGAGATTTGATGACATTTGATTTCCTTTGTCCTTAGGTGTCCCAGTGAGGGTCAGCATATTGTGGCCAAGGGAGATGCATTTACTGACATGAAGTGTAGTAACATTTCAGTCGCTTTATCAAACAGACCCATCCATCCTGGTAACGCACAGTCCTGTTCTTCAAGTTTAGTTCTTAAATTCTTGTTTATTTGAAGTCAGTTCTAATTTGTTGTTTTGTTTTAGACCCAAATGAACAGGCATGGCCACTGATCTTATCTGTGGTCGTCAGCGTGGCTCTGATGGGCTTCACCGTGATCATCATCATCACTGTCGCAAGGAAAATCGCCAAGAAAAGAAAGAAGACAAAAAAGGCAATACCAAAAACACCAATCATTAGAACCCCTACAGGTAATCACTGTTTTACTTCATGACAGCTCACAAAGAGATCATCCTGACTGCTTCACCTCATAGCTTGTAGACAGAATGTCCCTGAAGCCAATCTCAAATATGTTCTCTTTTTCTTCCTTCTTTAGATGACCCTAGGACATTAATAGCAATAGAGTGCAGTTTTCATGAGGCACAGCAAGAGCAGGGCAGCAGCTCAGAGTCACTGGACTCCAAGGACTCCTCAGACCAGCTCATTGAATGAATGGAAGGGAATCAGTCAAGACACCTGGTATGGTTTTGTTCAATTCCAACAAAGGAAACAGGATATTCTGAATAATATGCGGTCCTTCTCTGTGACTTTGAGCCCCAGGTTTAGAAAATGTCTTTGTTGTACCAGTTTGCTTGGGTCTAAATGAAAGAAACAGGACAATGTGTTCCCATAGCTGCCTTTTATTTACCCTCTATTCATTGATCAAAATAGCTTAAGTTACTGTGAATAATCCTGGGAGGAGAGGTTGGATGTAATATTTTGCTCAGGAAAGTCACCAGGATACAACTATCTTGACTTTTCAATGATACAAGAAAATTACACCTGGGAACAAGGGGAATTCTGGTAAGGAAAAACTGGACTTACAAGTCCATTCATCATGCAAATGATAGCAGACAGTCAACCAGGGTTTCTCCTCCAGTTAAGCTCAGAAATAGCCCTAAATGGTGCGGGAAGGTTTTAAATCATTGGTCTGAGGTTGGCACCTGATAATGGTAAAACAATACGCCTTAGATTAATAAGCAAAAGCTTCTTTTTAACAATATTTAAACTACTTTTAAATAAAGTTGCTGAATTTGTGCTAGTAAATGAGTTTTGCTACTCTGGTATTTGCATATCTGAGCCATAAAGCTGCTGAGCGTTGTTCTGTGTGAATGGTGGGCGTTCAGGTCGGAGTAAAGTCTAACAGATGGATTTTAGTCATGCCCAATACTGAGCCCACATATGCCTCTAAAAATAGATCATTTGTTTTACTCAGGCGCCAATTCTCAACCCAGTTACTTACCATTTTACTGCTGAATTTGTACAACCAACCAACCAAACCAGGGCAATGCTACGTCAAAGACTTTTTGTGGTGATATGATTTATCAGAGATTTTATCGTTGTTTGTCAGAAGATGCTAACTTTGTTTCACAGGTTACTGTATAAGATAACTTGATTTGATTTATTCTTTCAAACATGCAGAACAGAACAAATGACAGCAACACACACATAATTACCCATATCCAACCAATGCTAATCCAAAATCAGTTTGCTTATACCTAGTACATGTTTGAATGGAGTAGGAAGAAGTCAGACTTATCCAGTCCTACCCCATGACATCATATTATACAAAAAATGTCATGCATCATTGGCTGCAAGCAACATTTATATTTATATTTAAACTCCTCAATTCTAGTACTGTTTTTCATGTCCACACTTAAATTATTCCATAATTTGACCCCCCTTATAGAAATACAAAATCTTTTTTTGGTTGTACGTATAGCATGAACTTTTAGATTTAAGTGACCCCTTAAGTTGTATCCCCCTTCCCTTTCATCAAATAACTTTTGGATTCCACCAGGTAATAAGTCGTTCCTGGCTTTATACATAAACACAGCAGTCTTATATTCCACTAAATCAAAGAATTGTAACAATTTAGACTGTATGAAAACTACATTTGTGTGATCCCTATACCCCATCTTGTGCACAACTCTTATCCCTCTCCTCTGTAATATGTACAATGGTTGAAGTGAACTCCTGTAAGTGTTTCCCCAGTTTTCAACTTACTACTATTGTAAATAAAGCTATCCCACTGAAGACTGTGAAACATACTGTATGTATCCTCTTCCACTATAACTGTAGCCTACTTTATGTAACCAAGGATTATATGGACTTTCCTCTTATTGCCTCATTGGTGTCAGAAAAGTCCAGCAAAGGGAGTTTCCCCTTTTTGCCAGTGGGCTAATTCTGTGTTATATTAAAGCCCCAGGGAGTCTACAGTGCATTAGTTTGCAATGGCCTATCTACCTACTTTGAAAAGTTTTGACAGGCAAATATTTGGTTAGTGTTCCAACAACATTCATTGAGCAAGCTGAGACATGCCTCTTAAGCAAGACGTTGGGTATCCCAGTTGGAATCTCCATTGAAGTGAAAGGTTACTGTCATTACTCATATGCTGTAGATTGAAGGTTGAGATTTTTGCTGAGTGCGTCATGTGGGAATTCCTAGGGGACAAATGTGACATACACAAGATATACAGTATAAATGAGGTTCAGTGGTCAAGTGAAAACCCCTGGTCAGTCCTGATAATCCCTTTTGCATATTTAAATCATAGCACAATGAAGTGCAGTTACATGAGACTGAATGGAAATTAAAAAAAAAAACAAAATATACAAATCATGATAATTTTCTGAACTGTAGCAGGTGTTTGTTTCCTTTCAAATGGAACATTTGAGAAATACACTGTGTGGGCTTAGGGTAAAAATGTTAGCACACACCTATAGTAATGTATCGGTGAGTAGGCTACATATGAGTCACAACTCCAACACTGAAGCCTGTTGAAAGACCACAAAGTTCACAGGTGGCGTCTTAACAGGCGTCATCATAGTACAGTAAAACAAATCATACAGTGAAATATGCAATAACTGTAGCACTTTTATTCACATGGCAATGTTACTTCATTAATGTTATGAACTTCTGGATTGTGTGGGATATGAATGTTTTTTTTTTTTAAGACCAATATGCTTCTTAACTGTCCATGATCTTTTATTTACTCTGTACTATTGTACATTAAATATTGGTAATAAAGTCCACATTTCTAATAATTTATTGAAGCAAGTGTACATTTACTTTATTACATAGGAAAATGAAAGCAAATCCTATTTACTATCATCTGTTTAGAGACCGTTTTCATCATGACTCCAGTGATACTACAAGTTCTATAGCCAATTTTTAACACCTAGTTACTTTTCACCCACCCTGTATATGCCGTTCTCTATACTGTACTTACCTTGACATTTGAAACAACCAATAAAGGTTTCCCTATTTGTTACACTTTAATAGAGAAAAGCTGCATTTGAAGTGATCCACCTCCACAGAGGAATACTTTATTTGTAAAAATAATTTTACATGTGAGAATAACAAAACAAAAGGAAAAAGAAACTGACATAATATAATTGGTTACATGTATATGAATTCAATTAGTCACTTTAGGTGGACCGGTACAATTGTATGCAATTCAGTGCAACACTTCCTCCTTAACATCTGTTTATGAAGCTCACAATGTTTGTTTTGGTGAAATTGTCAAATGTATGTATTCAGTTATGTTTATTATTGAGGTCATAGTTAAAGGTCATGTTGTACTGGACTACACTATATTCAGAGGTGTTCTTAATATTCTGATCCTCATGTATGTAGCTGGAGAGGACAAAAATATAGCGACACCTCAAAATATAATGCAGTCCAGTACAACATGACCTCAGTAATAAACAGAATTAAATGTGTACTTTTGACAATTTCACCAAAAGCTGAAACACTGAGATTCACAAGGCAAAAGTGTTGCATTGAACAGCAGACAATTGTACAGGCGTACCTAATAAAGTGGCTGGTGAGGTTAAGAGCAATGTTAATAGGGATCACACAGTACTCCCCTAAGGATCAAGAATAAACATCCATGCTCTAATAAATGTGATATATTTACATCTGGATAGTACAAAGCATTTTAACATAATGTAACTTGGCTTTTCAACCATCTCCATGGAGCCCTGACACTCATCTGGCACACACCCCGCATGTGCATATCTGCGTCACTCTAGTTCAAGGGTTATCACATAGTCAAATGTTCCTTTGTCAAAGCTGTGGGTGAAATCTTAGTACATCCTGAATAGTGTACAGCTCAGGATGTCGACCAAATAAAAAAAAAAAGCCCCTAATATTACACTACATTTAGACAATGCTGAACTGATGCTAAACCTGTATCAATTCATTAGAACTTGGTTATTTCCTTCAGTACATATGATATAGAAAGAATTTTAAGCATAATCTCAAAAAGAAAGGGGTTAAAAAAAAAAAAAAAACACCAGGTGTGTGGAAATCTCTGCAGATCTTAAATATAAACACAAACCTGCTTTAGATGCTTGTGGTCTACTGGTTAATGACAAATCAAAGGTGCAGATATAATAAAGTTTATATTACTGTTACTGTTTAAATTAAATACTTAATACTGAATCTGAACAATGCTTCAATCAATCTCAATCTTCCATTTGAAAATGTCAAAGTCCAAGATGTTGTCATTATTCATCTTATCAAGAGATATTCTAAAATGTCACTTTCTCAATTCTCTCATTTCCACTGAGCTAAAGTGCCAATATGGTAGAACTTCATTCTTGCCATTTTAATCCTTAAAGTAACAAGAACTATGTAGTTGAATATTTAGTGTTATAAAGTATATTTGAACAAAACGTGCTGGATATTACTGTTGCTTGCAATTCTCTCTCTTCTCTTTGGGTTTAACACGTGCTGATTTGTCTGTTTGGCGCTTTGTGGGTGGGATGAAAGCAGGCTCCTCAAGGAAGTCGTGTAAGCCAGACTGCGGCATAGGAAGTGAATGACAAGTAGGGCCTATATTGAGAGAAAAGGAAGTATGTCTAGCCATTGTTTTAACAGTTTCATAAGTTCCACATGTCCTGTTTACAGCACCTGTTTGTCCCACTTGGAGGCTCTCTGTGCCCTGCCTTCTAGCCTGGAAGGTTGGGTCCAGCTCCTCTGCAATGTTCCTGATCTGCTGGCTTTGTCTGTAAAGACAGCAGCTGTAGGTTAGCATATGTGGCGGAGCCGTAGTACATATGCATACTATTGGTTCTATGTCATTACAGAGACAGTTACGGTATAGGGGAGGTGGGCCTGGGTGGCTGGTTCTCTGGGGAGCAGTCCTCAGTTGGGGAAGGAAGACCTTCTGAGTCGAGTCTCTCTCGCTGAACCTGAGGCAGTGGACAAAGGAGTCTACCTCATTTCATCAGCTTGTTTGAAAAATATAGATGAAAACACCAATACTAACCAGTTTGTCAATATCTACAACACACACTTACCTGTCTCTCTCTTGAAGCCTGTCTGTCCTGGTGACTGATTTTTGCTTGGTGCTCGCGCCATGATGCTGGCCCTTCTAGCTCACGAGATCGACTCTTTGCCTTAATTTCCTGCTTCTGCATAAAACGTGCAATTTCCTAGTGCAAAAACACAGTAAGGTATCAATCCACAGGTGGATATTAAACATGAAGTGCACCCTGATGACATGTCAGGTCAGTCGTACCTCATCCTGTGCCACTTGTGCTACTCTGAAGTCTTCCTCTGGGTAGGAACTACATGGGGAAGGCTGGGAGTTCTGTGAGAATAAGACAGTGAATGTTTAAAAAAAAAAAAAAAAAAAAAAAAAAAAAAAAAAATAAAAACTTAATGAAAGAGACTGATCTGTCCTTCCTCCTTGGGCCCTAAATCACAGTATTATGACTAACCCTTGGATCACTTACCTTGGTCAACAGCTTTTCCTCTTCCTCCTGCAGCGTGCGAGCCAGTTCTTCATCTTGTAGGACCTGCTGCAATTCCCGTAGGTCCAGGCTCACCTCACATGGCAGTGACTCACCTAAGGATGATGTTTCACAGTGTCAGAAATGTATTGCCAATTCCAAAAGGTAATGAAGCGACTATGAGAAGAGAAAAGAAACCAGAAGAATAATTACTCAAACTAGTTTGAATCACACCGATAAGATAACACAGCATTTAAAGGCATGCTGCTACATGCTGAAAGTCACTCCATAGTAAATATTCTCTTACTACATCAAGACTCACAGACTGATAATGAAGATGAGAAATGAAAGCACACACTGAAGGTTATTTCAGGACTTGGAATTATAGATATGAAGGAGAAAAATGTCCCACTTCAGTAAAAGACCCCCAAATCACCACTGAAGCCCACATTTGTCCCGATCAGATGATGATTGAAGGAAAATGAGAGGAGCAGATTTACACACATAGGGAGCACAGCTTTGGAAGCTTTCCCTTTGCAGATTGGAACTGGCTGCAGTTCTGGGTGTTACCTGCTGCCATGTGCCTTGACCTATCCCTGGGTGAAGCCCCACTACTGCTGAGGCTTTGGCTACGCTGGGGGGCTCTTGGACGGGGCCGCTGTTCTCTGGTCTCCGCCTCCTCCTCCTCTGAGCTTAACCTTTCTTCTATGGTCTTGTGCCAATGCCTGTGTTGGCTTGTTTTCCTCTTGACCTTGTAATTATTTATATTCCTCTTCCATTCGTAATCATCGTTGTATCCGTGCTCTCTCCGCCTTCTACTGCCTTGCCTTTCTTTGTTAGCAAGGTATGAGTCTCTACTACTACTACTCTCATAAACCTCTCCATTGTTCTCCACGTTATCATGGTGCCTGTCTCGGTCTTCTCTGTGATCTCTCCCACTGCTCTCTCGGTATGATGATCTCCCCCTCTCCCTCATATCTCCATGGAAACTGTGCCTGGCAGGGGCAGCTCTGTGGAAAACCCTCTGATGTGGTTGGGAGTCGCCACAGGAGACCTCACTCCCATGAAGCACCTGGCCATTTCTGCTTTGAGGTGGTATTTGCACAGGTGCCCCGTTGGGTCTGCCAAACCTCACAGGCACACCCCTCTCTCTAAGGACCTGGCCTAGCATTGCCCAGACTCGGCTGCTTTCATCCTGCTGTCTGCTAGAGTTTCTGGTATCGTCCTGAAAGTGGACATGTTTGTTAGGATTGTCCCTGTAGCTCCAGGTCCTGGCTAAGTCTCTGCTTCCATGTCTACTCCTGTCATGTAATCTGACAGATTCACTACGACTATGTCGCCTTTCTCTAACCTCAACCAACCTCGAATCTGTATCCTGATCTCTGCTCCCGTGCCAACCCTCAGGCTCCTCCCTATGGTTCCTTTCCTGGTCCCATTTCTTAGGCTTCCTCTTTTCTAGGTCACAGTTGCCATAATAGTCCTCATGCCCCTCTCCTCTCTCCTCCTCCAAGCCTCTGAGCTCATCTGTGAAGCTGCTGCGAGAGCTAAAACTTCTGTAGCTTCTCTCTTGCGGGTGATGTAAAGAGGCCCGCGATCGATGAGGTGCTGTGTTGAGTCTTTCATTCAGTCTCTGATAGCAGACAGAGAGCTGTTCAGAAAAAACTGTGTCTGAATCCTCTGAATCCTCACTAAGAGGCTCTCTTGGTTCACTTCTGATGTGCCTAATGGGATCTCTGTGTCCTTGGTTTGACCATGAAGTTGTGTCTGTCTGAGCTGCTTCCCCTCTGGGGGACACAGCCCTAGGCCCAGCTATGTCTGAATGGTTGTGAGAGGTAGAATAGTTCCACCTGGTGGTGGTAGGTGAGTACTGCTCCTCTCCTTGGTGAAGGCTACTGAGTGTGTGCTGGTGTGGGGATGGCAGTTCAGATTCGTCGCTGCTGCCTTTAAGTAATGCCAAACATGCAAGCACAAAAGCAGTAATGGTGGCTATTAGCAGGTACCAACAAGTGCAGTTAATGATGAGGTAACACATAGCAATAAATATAGCTGCATATCACTTAAGTAAGGGTATTTGATGTTTGACACAGCTGAAGCATTCCATGTGTTCTAGTGTATACATAGAAATACATACTGCATACTGTCGTGCATAAAGGACAATATAAAAGACCACATTTTATATGCATGCAACTGATTCAGAGCACAACACATTATGGAGATAATATAGTCTGCTAGCTTTGTAGAGCATGTTCTGTTTATGCTGTGCAGAATGATGCTTTAATCTTTAAATACATTAACAGTAAGGAATAGCAGCTGAGCAAAGTGTGGTTAGAGGAAAACTGAGCCAGGCTTGGGTCAAGGCCTACTTCAAATGTAATGCAATTCTGCAGAAATATAAAATTCTTAAAAAATTCTCTCTCTCAAAGTGTTTTTAAGTACCAAGATCTCTGGCTAATGTTGCCACATACACTCAGTTGCCAGTTTATTAGGACCAACAAGCCAAAACAAATGCAGTTGTGCTGTAAAATCCACCTTCAGGTGGAGGTGATAATCTTCAGATATGTTCAGAATGATTTAGAGGTGTTACGCCAATGGTATCGTCATTTAGAAAGATGCAGATCGTGTTGCTGTTGAATTGTTCTGCATTATATAGAGAGAGATATTTTTATTTTGTCAACCCCATTCATATCAGTGATATATCAGAAACCGCTCTCGCTATAATGCAGTATATCTCAACAGCAGCACAAACTACAGTCTCTAACAAATCTGAATATTATAATGTCATCAAGGAGAATTTATTGCAATACTTTTGCATTAGCTGGTGGTTAAGGTGCAGCGGCGAGAACGCACGGGTTCGAATCAGGGTTGCGTCAGGAAGGACATCCGGCATAAAACACGTCAACATGCGAGTCGTCACTGTGACGATTCGCTGTGGTGACCCCTACACGGGAAAAGCCAAAAGTGACTTACTTTCTTTCTGTCTTTTGCATTAGTTTAGCTAGGCGTACCTAATAAACTCCCAAATGAATACAAGTATGGAAGCAGGAAAACACAGAATGGCAAAAGTTAAACTGTACCTTCACTGTGGCCCTCCTGCCCTCTGTTCCTCCACCTGATCCTCTGATCCTCCTCCTCCTGCATCCGTTTAGCTAGTTCCTGTGGAGACACGGCAATACTGACAGTTTGTATTATAAACCATAATGATTAATCCAACAGGACCTTAAGCTAAATTACTTTTACAGAGAAATGAATCTGTTCCTACAAACAACTTTCACCCTTTTTAGGCTTTGAGAAAAAGTTTCAGGTTCATCTGAATTGCTTTTCAGAACAACTAACCTGTCTGTCAATTATATGGGCATTTCATTTGTCTCAATCTGGTCATTTGTCTTTAATTCAAACTGTTTTGGAACATATTTGGTTATCACAGCAAAATCAGTAGTGAAAATAAAGGTTTGACAAAATGTCAAGGTGTGCGACCATGAGTTGCTGCAAGAACGACATATTATGTATAGTGTGCCGTTTCCAGCCAGCAGATGTCAGCATCACAAACTGTGTAAACAAAAAACAAGTGAGGTGTTGGCCAAATTTATTCTCATGCCACTTTGAGCCTTAAACCTTTTTGGCTTTCTTTAATGATGATGTTCATGTAACACCACAGATGCACCTTAGACCAAACTGACCTCTATTCAAATCAAGAAGAGACTAATCCATCTGCAGTGTGACCTACAATACACCGGCACGTCTACAGAGGAGGCTACACCAAATACAGAGCCATGGTGCCACTGTGTGGTGATCATAAGAGTTGCTATTTAACACAAAGTGGGCTCTAGGTGGCTAACCTGAACCGACAGGCAGAGCTGGCACATTGGTAACGAGGAGACTATATGAAAACTCATGACCACATAAAGTTCAATAGAAGCAGGTCAACAGGACTGTTTCACTTAAATACCTTGTCACTAGTAAACACCTGCTCTTATAAGAGCTGCTACTTGTCTGTACTCTGAAGGACAGCGCCCCCAAAATGTTCCTGCACTGCATTTCTTAGAAAGACCAGAACTAATCATGTTCCCTACAAATCAGCATGTTCTACTGATGAATTCTATGAAATAGCTCTTTGTGGGCTGCATTTGTAACATAAATCCTAAGTAAATGCTAACGCAGCTCCTTTTGCTTTGCAATCAGGGCATGTGCGTCAGCTGCTTTGCTAGCATCAGCAGACAATTAGCAGCTTGCCATGGCAGGTAAGGCGTGGAGTGCCGCAGGGATCTGGCATTTAAAACTGCACATCCTGATGCCTTCTGTTCCTTAATTAAAGACACAATCCATGGGGAGGCAAATATTTAATCAACACCTCTGATCAGCCAGTCATTAAGGAAGGGAGGGAGCGTTAATAGTTCAGCATTTGATCCCAACACCAGCACTCATAAAAAGGAATAAATATATTTGCATACCCTGTGCTGCATAGGCTGGAATGACTTTTAACAAAGAGGAGGAAAATAAGGCTTTTACATTTAACTCTGATTGCAGACACCTCATGTAGGTTCCAGTAAAAGTCAAACCCAACCCCTTTAATAATGACGAATGAGCTCAACAGCCTCTCTGCACCAACATCCTCCAAACAAGGAGCTTTTATAAGTCTGTCTAAGGCAGCCTCCTCTAAAAACTGCAGGGTAAAGGAAAATATTATGCTGGAGTGGCCTTGTGATGCACTGGACCAGCTGGGGAGTTTTGTGGCAGAGCTGGGCCCTAGTCACTGCACAGCTAAACTTCATTTCTATTGGTGGGCAATCATGAGCACATGATTTTTCTGTAAAGCAACTGATATTCAGAAATGCACAGACATGTACTGTATGTATGTGCTGTAAAAATGCATAGTGACATAAAAACAAACTATTTGAGGGGTTGGGCTTTTGTGTGAACACTGGAACAAGGGAGAGTTGATTGATGGGAAACATCTGGTTTCCCTGACATTGTTTTTTTTTTTGCATTTACAAGTGCTATAGCCTACTATACATTAGAGGCAGATACAGTTAGCTGCTTTGCCTTCATCTTAGTGTTCACAAATGGAAAAAGCTAAACTCATTTTCATCTACAATGAAAAGACAACTACCAAGGCACAGAGGTAATGAGTTTAATGCTAATGTTAGCATGCTAACATGTTCGCAATGGTGATATGAACGTGCTGATGTTTAGCCTATTTTTATTTATCATGTTTGTCATCTTACTTTTGCATGTTAGGCTGATAACATTTGCTAATTAGGGCTAAACAAACCCAGCTTTGACTGACATTAGTTTAGTATTTAGGATGTCACACTGTGATGGATTTTAGTAGAATGTGACATTTATTTTGACAAGTGTAAAATGTAAATATTGAGGCAACAAAATTATTTCTCATCTCTAGCATACTGTAAACAACTAACACAGCCTTCAGTTTAAGCCACTGTGGTAATGTTTTTCTTTTAAAAATAATATAATGACTGAGTGGTAAAGGAGTGCTGATTTTCAACCTTGTTTCCATATAATCAGTCATCCCAGGGGACGTGTATATTTTCCACAATGCTCTCTACACTGCTGTAGCCACCTGTTGCATAGATCCACAAAGAAATATGAAATAAAGATGTTTTTTTTCTCAAATTCAGCCCAAAAATATGCAAGAGGATTAGGATTGATGTTTTAACTGCTGAATGTGGCTACTGTAAATGTGTGTAAGCTGCGCTAGTATAGAGGATGTTAGTGGTTTGATGAGCTACTGTAGGAACTTAACAACCCGTAATGGAACATGTACCCCTTTGTCATGTGTCCAGCTTTTGTTTCCACTGCCCTCCGCCCACTTTGGAGGCGAGCTCCTGGAGCTATGTTTCAGCACCTCTCAGGGAGGGGGTAGTACTAAATCAAGAGAGGGGAGGGGGTGGTTTGCTGGCAGGGATGTTGCCCCTGGTTGGTTAAATGGCAGCGTCCACACATCTCAAGTATAGCAGTGCTGTACATGTATGATGTGTAAATTCACTCATACTGATTTGGAGATAAAACGGGGACTTCAGCGAGCGGGCTGTAAATTCACTCATACTGATTTGGAGACTTCAGCGAGCGGGTCGCAGGCAAAGCAGCAGAGACGTCACATTTCTGCAAGTTTTTATTCTGCGTGTTTGACAGCTGTATGATAAACTGAGCATACAGTCTCCATTACTGTTTGATTATGTTGTACATGTGATTAAGGGACATTACGCTTCCTGCCCAGCTGTACATGTGATTAAGGGACACTACGCTCCCTGCCCAGCTGTGTGTGTGAGGAGCACAGCCTCGCCCTTATGTAAACAGTGACCTGACAAAAGGAAAACTGCAGCGGAGAAGCAAAGCCGAACGGACACTTCAGCCTACCGGATTATATGGAAAGCTCCAAGTTACAGCTCGTTAAGTCCCTGTGGTGGAAAAACAATATTTTATTGTTGTACACTGTAAAAGAGGATCCGATGTGCATTGATTTTGAAGTATTCATGCACAGAGTGATTGCACTTTAAGTAGTAAAAAGGCTTGTGTGCAAAGAAAAGTCAAATGTTGTTAAATAAAAGCATCTTCACACATGACTAAAGCTTTATTTTTGTCTGGCATATTTTAGTAAGACTACTATTACTGTGCCAAGTATTGAATCTATTTACGCCTGCTGACAGAGAATGTTTTTACGCAGACACTGATAGGTGCAGATTTCTAGCTTGGAAAGTCTGAGCTGGGTGTTGGTTGTATAAGTGATGAGTAGCTGCAGATACAGGTGATTTCAGGATTGCGCTGAGCACTGCAAATTGAAAACTTCTACATAAATGTGACTGGTGCATGTATTCACTGTGTGGCTGTGAATCCTAGGGAGTCTTAGGTGTAAAAGTGGAGTTTAAATGGACTGTATACCGACAATAACTGAGTGAAATGTTCTTTAAAAAAAACATTACTAGATCTGTATCATATTTACTGGAGAAATATAAACTAGGTACAGTCAGAATTAGCTGTGCGAGAATCAGAATTCTTCAGATTTGTGCTCACCTCATCTTCATGCTCCCTCCTCCGGGCCTCCTCAGCACACCGCTGGATCTCCTCCTGAATGACACGGGCGTACTCAAAGTCCTGCTCCTCTCTGTAGGACATTCAGGGAAGAAAATGACTTCTTTAGCATTTACTCATTGCAATTAACAACAATAAGCATGTGAATCTACAGAGTAAATCTGTATGTAAGGGACCTACGCTATATATAGACTCTGCAAATACTGAGAACAGTGAAATCTAATAAATGTGACTTCAGTGGGTGTGTGTTCGATTCAGGGAGGACATGCAGTGATGTTTTAAAAGTGCAGCAGTGTGAGCTTTGTTAAAATGTTTTGGGAAGCAGGGGCCACTTACAGTTGTTTGGAAGTCTGTCTGAGAAGGGCGCTCTGCTGGGCCCGCTGCGCCTCCTCCTCATTCTGCAGCCTCTTGGCTACACGGATGTCATTCTGCACTAGCTGGTTCTTTTGGATGTTGGTGGTGTAGTGCTGCTCAACTATAAGGGCAAGAAGGTAAACCAGAATTCAGTGTGTGATCTAAATTATAGTATATTAATGGCTATATTATGCCCGGCCTAACTTAGATGGTTTCTGAGTTTTCATGAGTGTGGTGTTGCTAATTTGAATGTGAATGCCAGACCCTCAGCATAATTCTGAGGAATCCTAAAAGCAGGCACCAAATTATGTCCTTTTGTTTACTGTAGAAATTTGCAGACAACAGCAAACCAAATATGTTCAGCTTGATAACCTTAGCTTCCCTTCTCTGCCTTTGTTAGCTACGAGAATTTTACTTAATATAAGTTTGAAATGTGTACAACTACATAGCTCAGTTATTTAACAGGTTGACTAAACATGAAGCCCCACAATACAGAAAGTGAGCGGTGGCAGTCACGTGGTAGCCCGACATCGTACTTACTCTCCTGCTCCTGCAGGTTGTGTGCCAACGCTCCATCCTCCAGCACAGCAAAACTCTGGCACACTGAAACAGAAGGTGAATATAAGTGTTTAATAAAGTGAGCAGCTCTCTCAGCATGAAGAAAAATGACACTGTTTAATGTCCTTTGGACGGGCTGATGAACCGTATTGTGGAGCACTAAAGGGAAACACTAGGATATGAATGCTGTGTGTTTTGATGGCTGTTCATATGATACAAACACAGGCTTCATAACAAAGCAACCACTGACCATGCCAAGAATTCACCGTTAAATATATAAAAGGCTCACAACAGGGTATCAGTGTTACATAGCAACACAAAAGTGGTCACGATTATTACTGTCCTGCCAACGTTGCTGAGTTCAGTAGCTGCAGAGCAATAGGTCCGGCTCATTCTAATAAAACTAAGCTAAACTTACTCTATTTTGTCAGAAAGACAACAGACATGAACTTTAATAAAAATATCTGAAACAATTATGCAAAGAAAGTCTTCCCAAAGGTGTGAAGTCAAACAAAGAGAGCCAGTTAGTGATTTCCCCCAGTTCTGCACTATTCGGTAATCTGCACATTGATTTTAATAGCATGAGCATTTGTGGACGAGTGTTTACAGTAGTCCTTAATGAACCACTACAGCCTCAGTGGGCTGCTGCCCATGCTTGTTTAAGGCCTGTCAAACTAGCTGAAATGTTACTGAAGAGAAAATAAATGCAGACAGACAGCAGCACTGTGGTCTAACTGTTTTCTCGACATCCTCCATCTCTGCAGACACACAGACAAAACTACGCTGTTATCTCACTGATTTTCACCAGGGAACTTAGAATGGCTGTCGTTTCCTGCAATGTTGTTTTCAAATCCCAAGAGTAGGACAAGATACAGCATTTGAGGAGAGATGTAGAGACAGGGCCAGTTAAAAACACACATCCCACCACTAATCCCTCCACTGAGCCTATCGGGGCAAACTGTGCCACGTCTGTGGACACGACAGCTACGTGGTCTTAACGCTTGGAAGACTCATCTATTCAGTTTATGACCTGAGCCGACACAGACTGTGCAAAAGTCTTAGGCCACCATTAGTTTTTCTGTTTTAGCAAGGTTGGAATAATAATTTATTTCTCTTTATCAAGATATAACCAAGAAATACAAGAAACATGCACAATATTAAAAGACAAAATGGATTCTTCAGTCCAAAAATCAGTATTTGGTGTACCCTCCCTTTGCACAGCTGTCCAATTCTTTTGAGGAATTAAGTCTTTAAGTCTGGACACCATGACAGACCCTCCACCATGTTTCACTGAAGGCTGCAGGCGCTCACTCCTCCAGCTCTTCTTCTCTCATACTGTTGATGATTGGACCCAAACATTTCCACCTTTGGTTCCTCACTCCATAATCCTCTCTTTCATTGATCTTCACTCCAATCTTTGTGAGCGTTTCCATATCTCAGCCTTTTCTCCCTGTCCCCTTTCTGAGAAAGTGGTTTCTTGGCTGCCGTCCTTCCACAAAAGCCCTTCATGATCGAGCTACTTCGGACTGTGGAAGGATCAACTTGGCATCTAGATGAAGCTTCCAGATGCTGAGCCAGGTCCTTGCTGGATTTCCTCCGCTCTCTCAAAGAAGAAACTCTGAAACAATTCTCACCAGACTTTGACAGTTTTCTTGGTCTTACACTCCTATTTTCATCCTCACCCTCCCTGGATTCTTCATATTTCTTTAGAACAGCTTGAACATCACATCTTGAGTATGCAGTTTGTTTGCAGGTTTTTTTAATAATGTGTACATATTTCCTATATTTTCTAGTTGTGTTCTCATCAGAACAAAACTAATGGCGGCCCAAGACTTAATGCCAGCTGTTGTTCTCAACCCAGCTACAAATCGTTTTATAAACCTGCAACACCTTACGTTATTTTAAAATACAAATGTTAGAGGACATTTCTATGATCAGCAACACTGTCCCAGGAAAACCCAGTAATACAATGTTCTGCATAAAGTCTAATTGTGATGTCTATAATCAGAATCAGCTTCACTGGCCAGATGTGCTGAAACCACGAGGAGTTTGACTCCGACACAGCGGCTAATGTTTAGCTTGACACTGTCAGAGGCGTTTCATTTCTAATATTCTACTGCTTGTAAATTCTATTATATTCTACTGTGTGTAAATAAGGAGGACAAACGATAATTAGACAGCTCTCAGTACAATGCAGTGCAGCACCACCTTGATCAGAAATATATTTAAAATGTACATATTTCTGACATCAACAAAAACTAAACATGATCAGTTTTCTAAAAGCAGAATCACATTGTACTGAACTACAACAGACTGTACAGCTGTACCACTAGCTGCATTTCTGAGGTGCAAATACAGTATGATCCAGTACTATGCATGGAAACCTGGCTGACACTGTAAGCTCCAAGAAAGCTGTCAAAGCTGAGACGTCCTTCTCTGTATGCTTACAGTGATGCTTTAGCATCTCTCTGTCAGAAGAAGTGCACACCTAAAACAAAGAAGTGAGAGAACAGAGGCCAAGCAAAGACCATGGAAGTTTGCTTACTGGCAGGAGGTGCACCGGATGGCGTCATGGATGACAGAAACACAGAGGAGGCCTCAGGATTCATCGTATGACAAGTATTGAGTGCCTACAATCGTGACCGTCTGTGTGGTTAAGTGAAAACACATGAAAAATTCAAGCATTTGACCCATCCCGAAGTACAAGAATGCTCCTTTATATCCTCTCTCGATAGGTTAGTGCTCTTCAAAAGTCACATGTAACACGTCTGACTTGGCGTCCCTCGATCCCCATCTTGTCGCTGTTTTCACATTCATGCTATAAATGGACAAAGTCCGCTTCTCATAAATTATCGCTGCACTTTACCGGAACTGCTAGATATGCTCTAACAATGCCATGTGTCAACATTTACAGAATTAGTTCTGAGTTAATAGAACTACTCAGACTGAGGACGTCTCCTCTTTGTCCTTGTCTTTAAATGCAGAAGTGTGGAACACATGGTGACACACTGGTGACATTCTACTCTCTAAATGCTCAAAATACAGGGAAAAAAGCATTCCTTCAGAGATTAAGTCATAAAAAGGGACTGCTTACACCACAAATAGCCCCATACGCCTACACTGAGAGTTAACCCATACTAAGACAGACATGCATTACCACTTACACCTGTCGTGGAGCTTAAGAGACTATCCGCTAAATGGATCTCCAACCTGCCCTCGTGCTTCCAGTCTGTCAGTGAGCTGCAGTTAAATCAAATGCTTGGTTTTAATCTGACAGCTGACTTTACTGTATTCTTAAATCCAGCTCAGAAAGCTAAACAAAACCAAGACAAAGATGGAAGCAAATGACTAGTCTGGTCTATGTGAGCATGTGTGTGTCTGTGGGTGTGTCTGGGCCAACTTGTTTTTCCAGACTCCCTTAAACTATGTTACATTACCTTCCAGGGGAGGGACAACAAGACTTATTACAACTGCTGAACAGGTTTTGAGGAACAGGGTGAGAGGTATTCAGGACAAACTGTGAAAACACATGTCCAATGGGAGTCCAATTACAGACCGAGCTGTGAGCTACTGTGAGCCTCCAAAACGACCTCGTGTCTTTTCCTAAGAGGATGGAAAATGAAAGATCCAGCAGACAGCAGAAACTGGCTGCGGTATTCCAGCACCACAGGCTAAGTAAGACTAAGAAAGAGTGCAAAGTAACAAGGACAAGCAGATGGGATTTCATAGCTGCAGTGTGTGCAAACTGTCTCTGCTGTGAGACTGAAGGAGAAGGGGATATTACAAAGCAGCAGACTATGACCTGCATGACCTCAAAGCCTAAACAGTCCAAAGAATTAGATTTTTTCCTATTCTCCCTCATCAGAGGTGGTCATAAGATATAATAGAAAAATGACACGTGTGATGGATCCTGCACATGTGCACTCTGTCTTTTTAGTAGAACAGCTGAAAAACTCCCACAAACATTACAGAACTGACAACCAATCAGCTAAACTAAATTCTGCTGATCATCACTGGCATCCAGCACAAGGGTGCAGCGGCCCCTGAGCTCTGACAGAGATACTTTACTTTTCACTCCACAGTCACTTGGAGAGCAGCAGTGGCAAGTGCCTGCCAAACAAAGAGCTGGCGAAAGGAGAAAATGACAAGGGTGCTATTTTCAGCCAAAATCCCCCACCAACTGCCCACACGCTCTCTCTCTCTCTCCTCCTCCTCCCTGGTCTGTTCTGCTTTCCTGCTTGTTGCTTTTTGCACAAAATTTCACCATGAAGTGTCTGTCCATCCTACAGCTCTCTGTGTGCTGAGCCAACCAGCTCATGAACTAGGCTGGAGACGAAAGAGAGGTGAGGGGTTATGGGACTCTGGGTCAGTGGTGAGAGTGAAATTAGGAACGGGGTGGGAGGGGGATTCCTCCGGGAGCTGCATTCCCTCAGCACATCAGGCTATAACAGGAGCGGCCAGAAGGGGGTCAAAACAGGAACTGATAAGGGGGCAGTGAAAACAAAGAAAGTCGACTTGGCAGAGATTCTCGGAGAGAGAGGAAAACGAAGGAGAAGTGAGACATTGGGGAACTATGGCTGTTAGGGGAAACTGAAGCATAAACACCCACAGCAGGACTTCAGGTAAACAACCCCAGTGCCACAGAGAGGGACAACCACACTGATGGACAAATCTGAATGTGAAAGTAGATGATGAGCGGACAAAGTTACGCTGACGAGACATCTGATTTATAGGCTGCTGTTGGCTCAGTTTATAGCTGCTGACAGTTTATAACTGTCTTTGATTGTGCACTGGCCCCTGCTCAATAAAGCATGAAAGTGCAAAGCTGCACAGTGCTCCCTTTGTGTGTGTGGAAACAAGAGTGATGTGCTGAATTATCTCCCTTGATAAAACATGAAGCTCTATTTCGATGGCATTCATTAGTGTGGGCATGCCAAACACCGACTCAGTCTACACTCAGACACTCCTCACCTGGCTAAATATTTACAGACAAGCAGGTAAAACTCATTTAGAGCTGAATGTTGGTAACAATCAGACAATACTCAAATTTTTCTCAGTATTTGAATGTCTGCATATGTTGGGAAGTCAATTCATACACAGACAGGTGACAAATGAAAAGAAAGATCCAAGGTGCCGGGCCACCACGTGCCACCACGTGCCACCAGAACAGTGTCAGAGCACCTTGGCATTAGTTCTCCAAGTCTCTGAATTCTCCTGGAGAGATGAGCAGCATTCACCCTCATGCTGAGTTTTGATGATGGAGACACTGCCTAACACCATATTAAATTGTTTTCTCACTCAGTTTTGCAACTCAGAAAGTTTCAGCTTAAAAACATGAACCTCACTTATGCTGCAGTCGAAGGCTTTATCTTGTGTAAGAGCCCTTTCTCCCCCCCGGAATGAAATATCACAAACAGCTGTCTCATCCCTTGCCCTTATCTGTATCCAGCGTGCCAGATATGTCTGTGATGAGGAACATTCTGTTTAACCTGTTTCTGCTGCATACAGTCAAAACATATTCTGTAACGAGGCACATCTTCTCTGAGCCGGACACAAAGTACTAATGCCACAGAATGAAGCACAGGCGGAGGCCAGTCAACCTTTATGCAAAAATGTCTGATTCTCTCTCAACGACCAGACAACTCTGTCTTTAATAGTCTGTCCAATATGGTGACGTGTCCAGCAATAAAACACTTCATCCCTACTGCAGTTCAGTGGCTGACCCTGACCTCTGACCCTCCTGTGGAGGGGCTGAACAAAATCTTTCCCCAGGACAAACCATGAGGCCTGGCACATACAACACTTTCTGTAAAACAACATACTCTGTGGGATGCTTTTTGGGTCAGTTTGGGAGTTTGTGCTTACCTTGTTGGACACGTGGAAGGTTGGACTGGTCGATCTCCAGCTCTGCCATCACTTCGTCATGGTGATCCAGACCACTGGCACCAGAAAGGGTATACTGGACGTTATTTCCAAGCAACATGGAGCGGAACATGGAGGTAATACTTCAACCCCCCCCC